AAATATTGTAGTCCTAAATAATTGTGATCATCTTAAATAAGTGCAAATAATGTGAAAAATGTAAACAATAATAAATAATAATATGCAAATCACTTAAACACTATATTTGATTGAAAATAGTACAGAGACAATCCAAAGGATGAAACTGAAAAATTCTAGTGTTCTTTGAAAAATATATGCCCCTTTTGAATTTGATTTGTCAGCAACACATTTCGTAAAAAAATGGGACGGAGACTGGTTAAGTTGTGTAGTGCTAAAAAAACACTTGGTGGAACATCTCATAGTTAATTAGGTTAATTGGCAACAGGTTAGTAACATGACTGGGTATATAAAAAGAGCAAGTCTTTCAGAAGTAAATATGTGGAGGGGTTCCCCACTCTGTGAAAGACTGTGCAGGCAAATAGTGCAAAAACTTAAGAATAATGTTTCTCAACATAAAATAGCAAAGAACTTGGGGAATTTATCATCTATGGTATATAATATCATTAAAAGAGTCAGAGAATCCAGAAAAACCTCTGTATGCAAGAGACAAGGCTGAAAACCAGTACTGGCTAGTTGTGCTCTTTGGGCCCTCAGGCGGAGAGGAATTCTGTAGTGGAAATCACTGCATGGGCTCAAACTCTTCCACAAAGTTAAAACTCTTCCACATTTCAAAAGCCAGCATCTGTTATTATATGGGGTGCATTAGTGCACATGGCATGGGTGACCTGCAAATCTATGAAGGCACCATTAATGCTAAACAATATTTACAGAGCATTTGCTGCAATCCAGACAATGTCTTTTTCAGGGAAGGCCTTGCTTATTTCAGCAAGACAACGACAAACCACATTCTGCATTTATTACAACAGCATGGCTCTGTAGTAAAAGTGTCCGTGTGCTAAACTGGCCTCACAGTCCAGACCTGTCACCACCGAAAACATTTGGGACATTATGAAATGAAAAACACGACAAACGATATCAAGCAAGATTGGGAAAACATTTCACTTTCAAAACTACAGCAATTAGTTCCCTCAGTTACCAAATGCTTAAAGAGTATTGTAAAAAGAAGAGATGATGCAACACAGTGGTAAACATACCCCTGTCCCAACTTTTTCAAAACATGTTGCTGGGATATATTTTTCAGAAAACAATAAAAATTCAATTAAATATTGGTTTTAAATGATTTGCACATAACTGCATTCTGTTTTTATTTACATTTTGCACAGTACCCCACTTTTTTAGAAACGGGGTTATATGTAATAATTGTGACAGGGCTACCCACTTGTGAAAACACATGCATGTCTAGCAGATGGAACAACTTAAGAACCAAAATTTTGTGTTATTTTAGCCAAAGACTGGTTATGTACACAATAATTGGTTTTACTAAGTGATTTAAACGTTCTAAATGCGTTTTTTAAATGTCGGCTTGGCTTTCAGTTTCAGCTTTATAGGCCTCTCCCCTTTAAGACAGACAAACATCTGGTACGGCAGAAAATAACCTTGCTAAAATAGCCAGCAAGCAAAAAGACTTACTTATTTCATGCAACACAACAATAATATCTGCATGTATTGTATGAACATTATAGAGCTTTACAGAGTGCTGTAGTTTTTAACAATGCATTGACTTTTTTCCTTTAATAATCAACAACTAATCCACTGTGTTCTTTTCACTTTTCACATGAAGGCAGCCTCATACAAACAGGGATATACACACACACATACACATGTATATGTATAGCGACAGCAATGTTTGCATCAGCAGTAAAGAGTGTGTTCAGGGAGTGTTTAGTAATGAGCAAACAGTCCCTGAAGAGCAGATAGGTGAACTACCCAAAACACAGAGGAGAAGGCAGCGCTGCAGTCAAAAGCAGCACCCAGCGACAGTGCCAAACTGCATTATTAATGCCCACGCTGCATGGCTACGCTACCAGAAATCTATCATCCCCTGTACTACATAAATACTCAGAAGCAAGGAAAAACACTATTCTACACAGTTAGCAGAACAGGCTTCTATTGAGTGCTGTGTTTTCCTCCTGACGCAGAAAGAGAGAGAAATGAAAAGCTGTAAGTCATGTCAAGCAGGATGCACTGGGTCAGGGATCTCCTCCGCGTAGCCATGGTAACGTGCCCGGCAACCGGGAGGAAGTTTTGCCTCATACTGGCTCCTCACTGCTCATTGGTCGCAGAGCGAGAGAGAGGGGAAGAGGGAATGTAAAAAATAGAGAATCGCACAATAATGAACCAAAATCATTCTCAGCCATGCCTGCTACTTGAGGCTTTGTTATAAGGTAGATACTTCAGTGAAGAGCTGTTTAATACTAGCACTAATGCAACATTGGAGACTCAAGCACTGTGGTCCAACTCATGCAGCATCTTGCTCAAAGTATGCCAAGTGACCCCTGCTAGTAGAGGTAGCTGTTTAAGTCTGTGTGAGAATAGGGAAATCTGTTAGTGGGATGCAGCATTTTCAATGACGGCAGCACATTTACGGACAGTAGCCGGCTGCATAATTCATGCTCGCCTATGAGTTTGCAGGCAGGCCAGTCAGGACTAATGGATAAAGAAGGGTCTCCTGCAGAAGACGGTAGTTAGGAGAAAGGACATTGGGGCAGCCATTAAGGGATGTCGATAAATTAGCAGAGAGGAAGAGAGGAGGAGGAGATTGTGGAGGGGGGAAGGGGGGCTCCTGTCTGCAGAGAAATGAATGGGCACTATTAATATGAATAGAAGAGTATGATTAAAACCCAAACCGCCAGGCAGCCTTTAACATGTTCATAGTTAATTAAGGCAAGCAGTTTTGAGCTAGTGGTTCAAAAAGGTTATAGAAAACTGTCAAAAAGGTAAAGTAGGAATTGTAATTCTAATTAACTGCAACTAAAGGAATGAAGCTGGCGTGACACCAATTGCTTGTGTGGGAACTTTGCAGTTAGGCTTGATAAACAGAAACGTAGCCTGACCTTCATCTGCCTCCCTCCCCTCCCTCGGCTGTGTGACCCTGAGGCTGCAGCCGGTGAGGCTGACTGCTTTTCCACCTTCAAAAACAATCCCATTTCACTTGGTAATCCAGGCGCTGCCCAGACTATCACACTGGGCTAACAGCAGTAATGCTGTTTTGGGAGGTGGTGGGGGAGTGGGTGGGATTAGAGTTTGCTGAGCTCTAGCTGCCACTATTCCTCCACACACTCTGTCTCTCTACCTCCCGAGATCTGGCGTAGGCCGCAGAAGGCAGAAAAATGGCTGAATAATAAATTCTAACTCAATAAGACTGGAGACAGCTGGTGCACTCAGACAGAGACGGCCTTGTCTTGGCTTCTCCGCAGTGAGGGAACAAATACACATAGCTAGCGTGCCCTGGTAGCATAGTAATGCTATTCTGTCTTTTTTGCTAAACAAACTGTTTATTTTTTGGCTCTCATATATCAGGCTAGCATGTAGAGGTGGGTACTGTGACAATATTTATCGTCATTGTGATCAATTACAGCACAATACACTTTTCTGAACATACTGTCAGTAACATCAGTACTTGATTCAGAACACTGAACTGCAAACTGCATGTTGCATTACTAAGACAGCATTATTAGGCCTGCTTAATAATTGGAGTTCAGCATATGTGAAATGCTGAATAAAAATTGTTGTGCTCATAGTATCAGACAGTATTCTTGTGGCAATGCTGGTTCTTTTTTCTGTTTCAAAGTATCAATCACACATATATATGTGTGTGTGTGTGTGTATATATATATATATATATATATATATATATATACATACATATACACACACACACACACACACACACACACATATATATATTTATAAATATATATATATATATATACACATACACATATATATACACAACTGGTGGGACCACCCATAAAAATGCTTCAGAATTTCTTAGTATGCTTATTATGCCCCCGTTTGCTTTAATGACAGTGTGAGCTCAGGACTCCATATGTTTGTGCAAAAGCATCTGATGAGTAGACCAAATCCCCCTGAGAGTCATATGAATGTGTTTCAATGGAATGATTAACACAAAAAAAATGTACAAAGGCCTTAAAATCCTAAAATTTGAATAGTGACCAAGAAAAGGGCAGATTTTTTAAACATTTCTTCTTTATTTCAATTGTCATAACTTTTCTTTGTTTTCAATTTTTCAAGATTCTAAAACTGTTATTTCCAGGTTTAAATGAAAAAAACAGATTTTCAATGTGGTCTCAGTCTGTATAAATGATTTTTCTTATTGTGAAAATATCTCTGAGTATTGTGATGTTATATTTTTGCCCACCTACTGGCACGCATCTTCTATTTTGTATATGAAACTTGACACAGTTGACACAGCATTCTGCTGATCATGCAACATTAATGATCAGCAGCACTGAACACCTCAAGATGCTTGTAGAAGGAGGGGAGGTGCTAGATTTGCCAAATAAGCATGCAGATGATTGACTGGTCAGGATGTTGCTCAGCACTGAGCAGAGAAAGCCTCTGTAGACTTTATTTCCAATGAGAAAATGGATATGGCCGCATTTTTTTGGTAATCTCAGGCAACAGTGAGCATATGGCACAGCTGGCATTCAAACCTAAATCTCAAAACATTATCAACCCCATGTTTCAACTGTTATAGTCAATATAATAACAAGAAATGTTCTACTTTTAGTACAAAAACAAAACAAACCAGTCTGGTTATTAGGCTGCATTGTACACTGTGAATAAAGTGCTTAATCAGGCTCTTTGCAGATGCAGTTGACCCAGGCCTGCAGCAGACCACAGGAGGGTGCAGGGTTTTAAGGCTGACACAAACACAAACTGCTTTTCAGGACATCAGCAAGAGAGGGATAGCAACTCAGCAAAAGAGCCTGGAGGTGTTAGCATTGCCAGAAGAAAAATACAGCATGTATGTGTGTGAGCACACAAAATGGATCTGCAGTCCAACTGCTCTACATTCTACAGCATAGCTAAATCGAATGTGATTGTGTGTGAAAGTGACTGCTTATTTGTGCAAGTGCATGCATCTGGGTTACCTTGAGGGAGTCGAAGCATGCAATAACGCGGCCGTTCTCCACGTGGCAGGTGCGTGAAGGGTGGGCGAACTTGCACTCTGTGTCTGAGCGTGAGCAGGCGCCTCTCTGGAACTCACGGCACACCTCCAGGGTCAGCCACTTGGTGTCGCGGCCCATGGCCACGTTGATGGCCATGGTGGTGCCTCAGCGACAAGACGGGACAAGGCCTGGGAACGGGACCGTCCGGGACAGAGAAGGTCAAAAAGCGACGAGTGTATGGAGGCAAAAATCACTACTGCAAAAGGGAGGGGTGTGGCTAGTCAAAAATCACTGTGCCACAGCACTTGCTTTCAGGCAAAAGAAAAAAGACATGCTCAAGAACAGTTAACAAAAATCAAGGAAAAGGAATATGTCACTCTGTAAGTTCTCTTTCTTCTTGTGTGGTTAGTCCCGGGGCTGCTTGGAGCAGAGGGCAGGTGTGTCCAGTAGAAGGGTGCTGAGGTTGGGGCAGGTCACTGTGCCATGCTGCAGTGGATCCTTGACCGTGCGTGACAGACTGAGGCACTAAAAGAGCAGACTGGCACGTTCTCCTGGGCTGCGGTGGCTGTTTCTCTGTCTAGACTCTCCCACAAGGGCTCTGAGTGTCCTAAAACAAACCCCTCTTCATGCACACAAAAGTACCTCACACTTTCTCTACCTTCAGGCTCCTAAATGCCCCTCTCCAACTGCCGCAGTCAGAGTGCTTTCTGAAGATGCTCGCATGTCTGGACGACATAAGACAGAACAACAGGGCAACTCAAGAGAGGCACTATAAAGCCGTTAAGTCCAAAAGAGGAAACTAATCGACTGTCCTTGTATTAACAGGGCAATATGGCCAGTGAGGGGGGAAGGAGCTGGGAGGGGGGGGAGCTGGGATCGAGGAACAGCAAATGGGCCGATTGACTGTTTGCCTGTCAGGGTGAAATATAGCCCCAGTCAAGGCCAAGCACACTTACAGACACACATACACACAGAGGGCAGCGGGAGACAGCGGATGTGGGGGCGGCAGCGTGGGAGAAAGCGTGCGCGGTGAGAGGCTGCTGCAGCATCCAGCCCAGGCACTTCGTGGTGATGCGTGTCCTCCTCCTTCTATTTGAGTCGCATTCTTGTCCGTCCTGCTTTCCCTTCGTCCCTTCTTCTCATCGTAGCCCTCTGCCGTCTCCCTTGGTTACTTCAAAGCGAAAACCTGTCCTTCAACAAGAAAAAAGAAAAGAATTACAAAAGAGAAAAAGAGCCAGTTTAAAAAAACAACAAAAACAAAAAAGGCCAAAGTGGCAACCTTGACAAAATATGAAGTTCTGGATAAAATGGCTGGAAAAAAGATTAAAAATCAACGCTTACAGGCTCAACTATTTACAGTACACTACGAACCTGTGAGTCGGGGATACAGAGGGTGAGAGGCAAACAGAGCAAGAGAATGAAAGCGCATGGCAGAGAGTACGTGAGAAAGAGAGCATGAGGGGGGAAAAAGAGTGAAAGAGAGGTAGAGGAGGAGCGCAGACAAGAGGCAGGCAGCAATGCACAGGAAAGGGCAGGCTGTGTCTTGATTAAGAGATAGAGGGAGGGAGAGAGGGAGGGAAGGAGAGGGAAGAGAGTGGGGGAGAGAGAAAGAGAGAGAGTGCTACGTCACTTTACATGATCAGCAGAGACAGGCTAAAGTTGATGTCAAATACAACAGAGCTTCAGGAAGCGCTAAAATAAGCTGAAGTGAACTGAATTTTGCACACATTTCAAGGAAAAAGAAATTGTAGCAAGAAAGGGAGAAAGTGAGGGGGAGGGAGGGCAGGTCCTAGCGACGGCAGCTGCTCAGCACGCAGCGTGGCGACAGCCAATAAGTGGACACTTTGCAAACAGGCTGAGTGCAGTGGCGGCCAATGAGGAGCAGCGTTACACCTCAATCTCAGTCTTTATTCCCTCCTGCCTCTTCTGGTAGAAGCTGTTATTGCATCGGCTCCTTGGCTGAATTCTAAAGAGAACGAAGCACGCCTGCCTCTTTTTTCCACAAGCTTTATCAGGAGAGTTTCTGTATTGGTGCATTAGCCAGATATGCAATCACCGCACAGCCTGGGACTAGCACACAACATGCACAGGTGAGGCAGATAAAAGGACAAGAGGAGAAACCAAATGGAAAAAGGGGATTTTTTTCTCAGCCTTAGTCCTCTTTGAGATATTCCTTCAATGGGTGCAAGTTAGACAGAGATGGACAGAGTAATATGGATGTGTGTGGGGGGGGGGCTATAAAAATAAAAAAAACATCAGATCAACAAAAGACTGCATAGAGGCTACAACAGTGGGAGTATGTTTGCAGCCGTTGTGCATGTGTGTGAGTGTTGGGTGGGTCTGACAGTTGATATTCGGTCCCCAGAGAGGGACAGCAGTCAGGAATAATTGGTGATGTGATGTAGATTAGGGTGGGAGATACACAGTAGAACTAACACACTGGTGCAAATCTATGTTAGTGGACAGCTTTTGGGTTTCCACAAAAAATATTTTTTCTGTGATGTAATGTGCTAAAGTCCACCAAAAGAGAGACCACCCTTTTATTCATTTAATTTCCAATCCAAATGACCATTAAGTACAAGTTATTCAGGAAAAAAGCAGAAGACATATTTAACAAGAAACTACACAAAAGCTTCAAGTGCTAAATATAATATATTTTTCAGTATTCAGTGTGTTCACCTTAATTACAACTAATAAATTGCTGCCTTAATTACAGCTTCCATTCTTTTCAGAAGAATTGCTTTCAGTGTTTTTAAAGAAATCTGCAGCGATATTTTTCAAACCTCAAACGGTCAGTCAGTTGGTTGCACTTTCTGCTTTTCACAATCAAAGTAATCCCAAATAGTAATCGTCAGTCCATTAAACCTTACTCCACAAAGTCCAGTTTCTGAGTTCTAGCGCAAATTTTCCTTTTCTCAGCTTCTTGACTGCTACATATTCTTTCAGATCCACATCATTGAGCTGTCCTCTCCAGTGGAAGGATGGACTAAAATACCTGTAGATCTGAAGCAAGAAATGAGGTAGATTTTCATCAAGCTCTCAAAGATTAAAGCCTTAGATACTGATTATCTGTACTGATCTCTGACTTTTGCACAGCACTGTATCTGCAAGCTAACAAGCAAAATCCATATGGTGATGAAAACGATTTCTTGACAGTAAATGACAAGTCGCTAAGCTATTTGATTTCAGACAGGCATACAAATAGCGCTCATTGGCTTGAATGGAGTGACAGTATAATGACTATGTGCTGTCACTGCATACATAATTGAACTTTCCAATTTTGTGTAGGTTTTGTATGTGTGACGTTAAAAAGTCACGAGATCACCTGCTATAACGCAGCGTGTGGTAAGAGCCTGGGCGGTCTGTTACCAAAACAAACACAGTGCGCTGAAAGCAGGAATAATTATGCACTCAGCAGGTTTAAACACTCAATTGGTTTGATTTAAAAATTATGGCCCCTGACCAGAACTCATACGTATGTATGCAATATTTTCATCAAACCTAATGATTTCTGGAAAGTAGGTACATATTACTTCTGTCACTTGAGTGAAGAATGATGACTGGCTTTCACTGCACTCATATTTTAACCCCTCACTCCCACTACTACATATTACATAGATCACATTGTAAACATATTGTTTCATAGTAGTTACTACTTACAGTAATGTGCAAAAGTCAGACACCAACCCTCTTTTATTTAATTTCCAGTTAAAACGACCATTATGTTCAAATTATAATCACATATTTTGCAGGAAATTAGACAGAAGCCTCAACACCCAAGTACAATATCAATTTTTATCAAATATTTTCATACTGTACCCCAGGCTTTTGAACTAGTTTTGAAAAATCCTGTTTTTTCACTTATTTTCCTTTGACTTTGCTCTTCTTGATCGCAAGTTAATTATCTGATATCTCAGCTCCTCAGATATATCTCCTGATAACTAGTACTTAATGGCTATTTTGACCAGATTGGTAATAATAATTGTAATATTAGTAATAATAAATATTGATAAACTTAAATGTAGATGACAAAGCATAGCAGGGCTGAACAATGACTTGATGACTTGAAGATGTAGGACAAAGGGATGAATGAATAAAGAGGTTTGGGAGAGCTACAACAAATAAGACTGCAGTGAATGAGGGGAGAGAGAGAGCACGAGAGAGGGCGGGAGATAGAAGGGCAGATAGGATCTGTCCCCGAGTCTCCCAGAGACAGACACAGACGGAGGAGGCAGCGGGGGTGCGCGTGTGTGTGACTGCGCAGACAGACAGCCCAGAAGGAGAGCACTGCAGTGAAGTGGGAGAGGGTGTGAGGGATGGTGTGTGCATGTGCGTGCCTGTATATGACACAGAGAGAAAGAGAGAGAAAACGAGAGAGAAAAAAGAGGTGGGGGCGGGAAAATGAATGTACAACTCCCACTTTCAGAATCCAGAACAAAGGCACCTCCACATCAAGAGAAAAAGCCGAAGAGAGAAGCATTTTTTTTTTTTGCTCAGTTGTGCGTGCTGCTCTCTTTTTCCTCTTTACAGTACCTGGCCCTCTGCAGAGGCCTCTGCACCTCAGCTCCACCGTCACTGCAACTAGTGCAGGACAATATTGATAAAATTCAGTACAGCAGCATTTTCCAAACATATCACGGTATCAAGCTACCTGCTGATATATAAGTCTGCATTAAAGGAATTTTCCTTCCATTTTTGAAACAAGAGTTTTATGTCATATGTAAGCATTGTTAACGTTTCCAGATGTCCACTATGCAGTCCATTTAGGAAACTAAGCTGCTAAAAGAGCCTGTTTTGAATTTGTTGTTTTTGTGATGTCATAAAAGCAGTTTAACTTTGCCCATATACATTGAAGGAGTGTTTCATCCTGGACTGCTTTCTGAATGAGGCGCAATTCAGGGCAGCCAATCAGAACAGAAATTTTTACATATATAAAGGAAAATGAACTGTCTTTTTAACTGAGAGATAAAGACAGTTTAGAAAACATGACATGACAAAATAAATTAAAGCCAAGGAAAGGTAAAACACAAGAACAATATAGGATATGGCCTCTTTAAAGCTGCACTAAACATGGTGTCAGTGCACTGCTGTGAAGCCTGAAATAATAATTTTGAAGTCACAATTGTGGGCTCAGGTTTCGAAGGAGTTCTTCGGACCACCCATACATCGTTACGTATTAACCCCAAATGCACAGGCACAAAAAGAAAGTCTGGCTTGATGTTTAGGTCTGCAAAATCAACTTTACACTAATGAAGATATGATGACAACGGTAGATAAGTCACTTACATCCTTGGAAGACACATTCTTCAACAAGTTTTGACTGTGTTCTCTTTGAATATTCTTTCAACACACTCGCAATCATTAGATTCATCTCCTTAGGGTAGGGGTCTGAAGCACAACAGACATCACAAAATGTTCTTCCGCATCTTACGTGCAATTACACATTTCCACCAGAGGACCATCTTACATACTGCAGCTTTAATAAAATTGAAAATGAACCCTTGCAACATTTAGTCTAGTTCTCTGTGCTATAAGAAAAATGTCTTACAAAACTGCCAATGCTTTCTTGAGTGGACTGTTTTGTCTATTTTGCTTGTTCATAATTTTCCATAAAGGAAACTTTCTATTTCATTAGTTTTTCATGTATTTAGACTTTTTTATTGCAGTTAATTAAGCTTGTGTTCTTTATGAATACTACTAAAAGTAAAAATATATATTAGGGTCAGACAGTACCCCATTTTTAATACTTTAAACCATGCCCAATTATTCCCGTGGTATTCGGGGAGGTGTGAAAGTAACATTAAAGCATTATTATTTACAAATCTGAAAACTTCAGATAGAGTAATTCGCTTACATGGTCACCAAAGAGGTGAACACAGTGCACAATTGTCAAGGTATAATTTAAAAAAATGTCAAGGTCAAACCATCTAACTAACAACTGATAAACGTTAAGCAGTGCTGCAAACTAGGAGAAAACAGATGGCTAGCATTAGCTCAGCTAGCAGGATAACAGCTCTGCTCACCACAGAACATGTTAATTTCTGGCTAAATAAAGCACAGACACAAGTTTAGATGATAATGATTCAGATCTGAGGGAATGAAGTCAGAAGGCGGAACTTACTGTTAGCTTAGCAAGGCTACAGACTCAAACAGTCCACACACCACAGTACAGGTTTAATTCTGACTTAACG